CTTCTGTTCTGTTGTGACAATAAAACAAACAAGTTTATCATTTAGCATTATCCTATTATTTTAGTGAGGACTCATAAATAACTACAAATAACTAATGTTAGGGAAATCTGTTTATGTTTTGTTACGCGTTTCTGGAATTTCTTTTTTAAATATATATCGGCCGATATATCGGACTATCGGATTTTTAAATCACCAAATATTTGTATCGGTATCAGCCTTAAAAATCCTTTATCGGTTGGGCTCTATTAGAAATCCAACACTCCAATCACATCCCTGGATTCATTTTTGTAATGGTGGAGGAAACTAGTTTGGAAGATAGAAACACTTCCATTCAGCAGCTGCAAATATTCCATTACTACTTACTTACAATTTGAACAAACAGAACTGGATTTTTTTTAGTGAATTTTAGTGAAAAAGGACACAGTTAACAATTTTGTTGGGAAAAGCAGAAAAGTAATATAACAAGTAGTGTAACTGATAACTGTTGACAGGGAGTAATAAAGTAATATTATTTTTGAAAAGAGTAACAGTGAGTACTTTGAGTTTTGATACTTAAAGTGCATTTACCTAAAAATACTTGCACTTTTACTTAAGTAATGTTTTGAATGCAGGACTTTTACTTGTAGTGGAGTATTTTGGCAGTATGGTATAGTACTTTTGCTGAAGTAGGATCTGAATACTTACATGCCACTGAAAAGGCATATGAGAGCATTGCAAGTGTTTACATACACATTACATACTTTGTCCACCAGAGAGCGCTGACAAGATGACTCAGCACATATCTGCTCACAATTCACATTAAAAGGTACCCTTTGCAAAACTGTTAGTTATGTTAAACTAAAATCTGCCAATATATTATATATTTTACCCTCTAATGTTGATATTAGAGATTGATATCAGTGTCAGTTGGATTCTAGTCTAATTTATAAAAACGCATTATTTGGATCTCCATTGCACTTCATACATTCACATACACTACACTTTAGCATGGATTTACACTTTATAGGTTACAAAACAATTCATCGCTGAGAATTATTCCCTTCTTTTATTGCTCACATCTTTTACAGAACAAACTTCACACAAGTTGATACTTCATTCAAGTGCCACGTACTGAGAACAGGACATGACTGTACAGAGCTTCACTTTTCAGACACTGGTCCTGTCCCTGCTGCTGGGACTCTGCAGGAAGTGTTACATAATATTTGTACTTTTTGCCTCTCTCTACTGACTGCCGTTACACCATTCATGAGACTATTTTTGTATGTACTGTTCTAGAACATCTGACAGCACGCAGGAAGTGATGTGTATTATGGCTCCAGTTTGTTTGGATAGAGATAGTTAACACTGCTGAACAAAGACAAGAGTAAAACCTGCTAAGACTTCAACATAAAATCCAAAGAAAAAGACGTGATCTGACTGACTAATGAGCTCTGGAAAGGAGAGCAGCCCTTGGATCAGTTTGTTATAAAGTTGACACAATACCATAATTTCAATCTTCGATACATTACTAGTATAGAAAAACAACAGCTTTTAAAAAAGAAAAAGAAAAAGTCCTAGACAGGTGAGCCTAGGACAGTGGTGGTACAGCTCATTTGTAAGTAAATTATTATTAAGGTTGAGGACAAGTTGATTTTCTTCCCGGTTTCATTTGTGCAGGCTTGGGTTGAAAATCTGCTGTAGATCTGTTCTTTTGCTAAAAAATAATAGTATTGATGCTTCTGACAACCTGTTTGTTACATTAAAGCTGCAGTAGGTAACCTTTATAAAAATAACTTTCTGTCATATTTGCTGAAACTTTCACTATATCCTGACCGTAGTACATGAGACAGATAATCTGTAAAAAAAAAATCAGGTTCCTCTGGCTCCACCTGATGGCATTTGCAAGAATCCACTGGGCCTGAACAGAAACAACCAATCAGAGCTGAAAAAGATAAGAAAGATGCTTTGGGTTTGAGGCTTAAAGATAGTTGATTATTGAGTTTCATTCCTAGCATTGGTTTTTGACAACCTGGGAATAAGGCTCAATAAGCAACAATCTTTCTTGGCTTTAACTGTCAGGATATAGGGAAAGTTTCAGCAAATGTGACAAAAAGTTATTTTTATAAA